AWWAGTAGGAAAAATTGGCTGCACTACAGCATAACGATCACATAAATGATTTGGTTTAGCAGTGACAATTATGGGTCATTTGGGCTCAATAAACTACTTGAGACAGGCGTTCTCTATTTATAAAAATAGCACCTCTTCAATGATACAATTCTAGATGAACGATATGTTTCTCAACGTATCTGTAAACATGGTGCCYTGGCTGACATCGACGATATTGCGTCAGTGTTTCTAACAACCGGTTACGCAAATGCGACCTAAATCCCAATAACAGAGAACTCCACGAGGACTTTCTTATTTGTTTTGGTACATTGAATAACTTAACTGATGCAAAATGTTTGTTCGAAGTACAAATAAATGACTTGAGATATTTGATGTTGAAATTTGATTGAACATCTGTGAAACGAGTAAAACGAAAAATAATTCGTATGAGCTTAGATTAAATACCCTCTCTAAATATTTTCTTTGCAGATTTGTTCAGCAAATGCGTTCTAAAATAAACATAAGGCATAATCTTCATATTTTAGCCCTAAAAACCATTTTCACTGAAATTATCCGCGCATCTAAATAATTACTTCAAAAAAAATCAAAAAAGCCATTTGAATCTGTTAATCTGAAAAAACTGATACTTCAAAAGACCGAAAAATGGTTAAAAAAGCGCTAAAAAGTATCCCATGTTTTGATRTAATTTCCAGTAAATTGTCCAGATAATGACACACTATAATGAGCCTGTCACAAGTACATACATGGTTATATACTTCTGTTTTTGTTCAAGTTTTGTTTGAATAATCRTTCATTGATATTTTGACACAAAATATGGGTTAAACAGCATGTGTATGACTTTTGTACCACAATAATTCATGATATCTCGCGAATTCACTTAACTATTCACAACGCCCGTCCTTATCATGATGTAATCCTAAAAGATCCTATTGGCTTGATAAACCAGTTAGCATATCTAACTTGATAAATCCTTATATGCTCTGATTTATTGCGTTATATAGGAATTCAGAACAGAACTTTAGCCAATCTAAACAGACTTTGGAATTTCGGTCAAAAACCAATAAATGTGTTTAGTTTGTTGTTTATGTGAAAAAATCCACTATAGTTTCCATCGTTTTTACATAAACGTCATTTATGAGACAATGGCACTTCTTGTATTTCACAGTTTCACAACCAAGACGATCGAAGTTGTTCGCCATTGCCAGGAAGCTCAAGTTTGAATTCCACGTCTCTTACAAAGTCTATATTACAAAAGTACACTCTGCCACCTTATGGCTGTACCTTCCWAAGTCCCGCAGAAGACAAAGTAAGACAACTGTCACGATAAAAGAGGCAAACAACGACGTAGAAAACCTGGTCAAGGAAATAAACGAAAAAGATGGCGAGTGGGTTTCTATTGAAATTCAAAAGATTGTYAAATCCTGGAAAAGGCGCGCTTTGAGTGAAGACATACGCGAAATGAACCAGAATAAAACCCTTGAAATCACGTGCTCAAATTGCGAGAATCTGAACGAAGAAGCAATTGGAAGCAACAGTACCGCACGCCCATTCATAGTAATTGATGTGGTAAGTGTAATGGCCAGGAARAAACGTTCCATTAACTGTAGACCAGGAATTAGGTCCTGTTGTCTTCAAGAATTGTATGTGTCGTTCGCTGATATGGGCTGGGACAACTGGATCTTGATCCCTGAAGGATTGAACGTGAACTACTGCACAGGATCGTGCTTTGGCCATATTCTACCAGTTTATTCACACTCAGGTCTTTTACAAAAAGTGGCATTGCAGAAAGGGCGTAAAGACATGGCACCATGTTGCTCTCCCACCAAACTCGCGCCTTTATCTATTTTGTACTTTGACCCATACGAAAATATTTTCCAGCAAGACATCGAGAACATGACTGCGCTAAGGTGCGGCTGTTCATAACAAAACTGCAAAAAAAAAAAACTAAAAGTCGTTTCGTAGTGGGTACAATTGACATGAGGCAAGAGACTGTAGTTCAATGACAGTTGCGTCTGCAAAGCAAACAGATGAACGGCATTAGATGGTCGTTTTGTAGACTTTGTACTTTGGATGACCAGTCAGTTGCTGGACAATGTGCTGGACCTCCATCATATGAGAGTTGCCGCTGCACACAAATACGCGAGGAACTGAGGATATAGTTTATATTGTGTAAGTTATAGCGGTCATTTCAGCAATTCTGAAAAGCCAGTTCATTATTTGAACGCTAAACCAGTTTTTCTGCCCCACGCAGGGGAAAAATGCACCTTGATGTTAGTAGAGATCATCCAAGCAMACACAGCGYAAAATGATCTWGTGTTTGTAATTTGCAGGAAAAGAATCCTCAGGATTTGATCTAGGCTTGTTTGTTTACACAAAGTACAAGTACTTGTAGTAACTGCCTCAAAGGCTTTCGTTTTATAGTGTTCTTGATATGAATGTTTAGTGATATTTAAGTAGCTTAATGTAGTGTTTCAAATCCTTACAAAAATCCATCATTAGCAGCTAAAACTAATAATTTTCATGGGCGTTTTTATTGCTTTCAGTCTTCGAAGGTCAAAATTTGCATTAGTTTGTTATTTCTGTTTTGGGATAGCTTCTCAAATTAATGAGTTAAAGCTGGAATTCACGGTTGCATTAAAGGTCAAGCGTTTTTACGCAGCGTGTATAAAGCTGAACAATACGATATACTGAAAGATGTCTTCATCGACCTTTGATTTAGAAAGGCCCGCTTCATAGGACAGCGGGCTATACKAAAATTACTTTCATTGCATTTCTTTATTTTAATGCCTGATTTTCTTGAATACAGAGTTAAACGGCAAAATCCGGAGCAGTTACTGCGTTGACGGTCACGCCCCTCGGTATCACAACATAGAATAAATTCTGCTCTCTCTCTGATCGGAATACTACGTTCCATGTCACTGTATACGACCTTTTAACTTATCTTTCAAGTCTAACGTTAGCATGTTTGAATGGTTGCCAGCATAGTGCGTAACAGTTTGTAGTTTAGTCAGCCGATAAACTGTTGATGATTTTATTTGAGGTTCGCGATCTTTACCCCTAAGCAGCGCCAGTAAGTTTCATTCGAACGATGTTTTAATCTACAATCAATTTCAACTTTTGACCCTAAACATTTCTTTAAGCCTCAAATTATATACAGATATTTCRCTCTGYGTTTCTAGAAATTTCTGATTTGCTATACGAAATCTGCAAGTTCATTTGTAGTGTGACTTTTTTTGATTTCGGACAGTCCGCACTTGTTGTTTTGYCATGTCAATCTAGGCGAGAAGACAGATATTTTTATCGTAAATGTAATAAATTTCAAATWTGAGTGACAAAAATTAGCAGCAATCTGTTATTCCGGCGTCGCAAAGTATGATTTTTAAATGACGTTTCTTTATCGACATTGTTACAATGATTCCATTTTAAATTTTGTCCTTAAAAGGGCAATGCATAGCAATCGTGAATACAGTTTGAACTYTCAATGAACTATAACTAATATCTGATAACTGTTTTTAGATTACTCGGCTCGTATTCTATGTCATTGCAATAATGACACCGAATACGTAAACTTTAATAGATTTTGACTAAAACTACATTACATAACATTTTTGACGTTTGCTCTTAAATGTAACAAGTTTGTGAAAAAAAACATTTGTTAAAAGAGCAAAAAATAATATGTTTAAAGTTTTATGGGGTTTAAATGACTCTATGTTAGAAACCTTCAACATGTTGAATTATCTTTGAATATTGAACGAAAGCTCGGAAAAAGTATTGGACAAGCTGATCAAACATAGCTGTTAGAGAAAATTGTAGAGAGTGAAGGTACTTAACCCGTGAAATAGACTAATATACCTTAGTAGTCAAGTAATTGTTTTTGTTGGTGTCTACTTGACTATTACACCTTTTAAAGAATACATTACATCCGTGAAGCATTTTGTAAGAAATTCATATAAACTGAACAAGCCGAAATTTATACTAATTTCAAGTTGAATCCCAAAAAGGGAATAGACGAGTACACGGTACGCTCTTGTTTCATGGGTTTTCAAAATGACTTCACTCTAGAAAACTTTCTCACGATGATACAGTGAAACGAACACTTGGTTATTTCACGCGAGGTTAATGTCTTCACTCTAAATCTGAGCATTACCACGATTTACGGAACTTTCAGCGATCGCTGACAATTTTACCAAGTCAACTAATGCTCAGGTCCATAGGAAGCAGAAAACAGAAAAATAACGTTAGAGTTAACGATTTCTCAGACAAAGACAAGGGAAAACTCCCAATAGGATTGTAATTTCTTCTCGAAATCACTAGAAATGAATCGATTGTGTTTTTTTCTAAATGTGTGAATGATAGTAGATAGAATTGATTGAACTGTGTTAGATGATCTGATAATATCAGTGAGTTTAGAAAATAAATGAATCATTGTTTACATGCGAATGAGATGTTCTTTTGATTGAGTAAGGTTATTAGAAATTGCGCGGCTTTGATCATTGTTTTCAATTTGATAACTTTTTAGCAGTTTGCAGTGAGCATTTAAGCAGCAGTATGCGCCTTGATGAATTTTACAGGCTTGGCGGACCCTTGGCGATTTTGAATCAATTTTAGACCGGTACACGGCTTATTGCGCTTTTAGTTTGGTGTCTTTTTCCTTTTTTTTTGCACAAAGTATTAAATACTTTTAATGTATATTTACGACCTTTGTTAGGTTATTAGCGCATACGCACAATTACAACTTCCCTTATAATTCCTGAAAAAACAAAGTTGCTAACTACGTATACACGGAAATAGCGCCGCGCGATTAAAAAAATAACCTTCTAGGGAACCAAGGCTATGACGCGATATAAACTGGGTGCGATTAGCGTGGGCAAAAAATGTTGGCGTGAAAAGGGGGTCAAGTTATGGTTAAGCGGCGCCAGGAACTCCCAATTATTGCCAAGGTTTTAGAACGATAAAACAACTTCATCGATAACTGATATTGTATGACCGGCGAGAAATACYTCCCATTCCTTAAATGTTGGAAAAAATGCTTGACGGATAGAAATCTTTTGTATCGAACCACAACTCAGTGCGCAAAGCCTTTCGGGTAATAGTTGTGACATWTAAACCGCAGAAATCAAATTGTTATTACGCCACATTTTATCTGATGTCAACTTGACCTTATCTGCCAATTTACCTGGGAACAAAAAACTTTTTATAACATGGTATTTAAGATACCACTGAAGATAAGCGATGTCAGGGGGCTTCTAGAGTTTTAAAACAAATGACTGAGATTTACAATAATTCCTGGCAGCCATCCAGAGAAATCTGGTCGGTTTTTGGTTTCCTCGTAAGTAAGGACACGCCTGGAGGAAATTAGAAAAAAAATCATACCGCCTAATGGCTGGTTTCTGTTGGGCTATTCCAACATTCTTTCAAAAAAAAAGAAAGTTGCTGTCAGTAATATTACAATGCTTAGTAATTTTCCATTTTCCATCTGCCGTTGGATGACAACAGAAATGTTTCACTTCTTTTCGAAACCCAATCTATGGTTTTTAGACCGCAGAAGAGATTTATATGTAAAGTATTTAGCTGTGGGGAGCAACTAATGGAAACAATAGCAAAAACAATGACTGATTATATTTCGTTTAAACAGTCCAGATAACGCCGCCAAGGTCATCGATCAATCTGCTACCATGATGTGATTTCAAACTTTTTTCGGTTTGAAACATTTTACATCTGTTCAATGCATCGAACGACAAAAGGCGACTTTCCAGACATCAACGTTTGGAATGATAAGCTCTAGATGACTTTAATCGCAACAAAGAAAAAAATAGATTATCACAGTGATAACTAAAACGTACACATAATAATAATACTAGCTGTAAATCTATAGTTTAATATCCATGGCATTGTCTTAATACAAATATAGTTAAAGCTAAGAAGACATAAAATAGCGGTTAAAAACACTTTCTCTAAAATGCTGATACAATAAATAACTAGCTATCAGCAAAATATTGATATTAAATCTACAGGATCTATAATATAATACCTTTTCTTAAGAACATTTTAATAGAAAAGTGAATGCACGTTTTTTGGACACTGGAAAATACGACTGGTATTAAATACCAATTATGTTAAATCTTGCGCACTTCCTAAAATTCAAAATGATGTTTAGTGATATAATAAGCCGTTTAACGCATCGATATTTAATGCTCACAGTGCCTCATCTTTAATTGTATTCACCATTCTACCCGTCAACACACAATGTTACTAAATCACACCGGGATTATACTGTCTTCGTTCCCAGGCCTGACGCGCCAACCGAAGGAGCCTCGGAGCGAGGTTGAATTTACATTACAGACAASGTTTACCTAATTATGTGACGCAGTGAAAGTACAATATAAGATGTTATAAATGCACATCTCAGACAAGTCTTTTTCTTATCAAAGTTATATRARMCCTTAGGAGGYTTGTTCCCAGATCCCTTTGGCGAAATAAAACAGCATTTAAAGAAAATATGCAGCAAATGATTGTACTTATGTATCTCAGTAGCTATTGCCTCCTCCATAATATGATGAATAGTTTGAACCTCCTTGTGAGTTGCCATAGTAATGTTCATGACAGGATTGGTATTCTCTCTGGTCTACATAGCGAGACCTTGGTGCGTCAGTGAGAGAATCATATGTGTAAAACCTGCCTGGGTTCTGCTCCTGTACRGGGTAGGGTAGGTGGTTATATCCACTTGGGTTACTGTTATGTGKATTTTGATAAAACTGGTTGGTGTTTTGGTAGGAAAGCTGAGGGTAGTTACTTTGTGGTGTTGGGTGTGGTCTATAGCCATGTGGATCTTGTGACCCCTGTTGCCCAGGGGGGTAGCGTGGAAGACTATGTCCCTGGTAATGATCAGGTGGAGGATTATAATTTCCATTATTCCATGATTGGTAGCGTGGTTCATGCATTCCATGTCCCCTTGGTGGGTATTGTGGGTTTGCATGAGCTCCATGGTGTCTTGGATAGTGCTGTGATGCATCATGACTTGGTCTTTGGTAATGTCGTGTTTTTTCATGATGTTCTCTTGTTTGGTGCTGTCTGTTGTTAGTATGTGAATTGTAGGGTCCTTTCGCAGGTGGTTCTCCAGCTGTTGATTGATCATCTCTTTTTCTCTTCATCTCTTCCCTTTCTTTATCAGCCTCCCGTTCAGCAAAATCTTTTCCTTCCCGTTGAAATTCTTCAACCAATCTAATAGAGTTTTGAAGGTTTTCTTCAATGAACCACACATCATCAAAAGACTCACCAACTACTGGCAAGGTGAAGTTCTTCTTCATTTGCATGATAGCTTCCTCTGGCACAACTTTCCCTTCCTCTCGTTCTCTTTTCTCTGTCCGCTGTTTCAAGACCTCATTGGTATTCACGATAACAGCAGCAACTCGCTTACAGCCATGGAAAGATGTCATCTTCTTCTTGCGTGCACCAGGGTAGACATTGGTCTGATCAATGATGTAGTTCCTATTTTTTTTCTCAGCTATCTTAAACATTTGATTCAAAACATTAGTAGCTTGTTTTATCAGCTGATCCCAGCGCCCATGGTAGTTTCTTTGTCTTGTTAGTCCAGTGACTTTCATCTTATCCATGATTGTATTTGTGCCAAGGATATTGATTTTCATTGAATTGTGTTCACTTGAGTACTTATTAGCCCAGACAGTTTTCCCACTGCCAGGCAGTCCTACCATCATGATTACTTGACTGTCTCGCCGAGTGTCTGGACCAAGTGTTCCTCGGATTAACATATTTTTTGGCAAGTGCTCTATCATTGTGAAACCATCATATGGGTTTATACGAGGTGGATAATAACCAAAATTGACCTCAACCTTCATGTTTTTGATGGTGATATGAGGGTAAAAGGCTAAGCCATCAGTCTCACGTGGAAGATCAAAAGCCTTACCAAGGTAAAGACCATTTTTTGCAAAGAATATACACCTTTCATCGAAATCAATATAGCAGCCTATGACATCATTGACAGTATAGGGCTCACCGTAATCGAAAAACTTGTTATTCAATGAGGATTTCCCAGTGCCGCCATAACCAAATGAGAACCGGTCCTCTCCTACGTTTAGGTTACATGAGTCCATTGACCAGCCAACTCTTGCAACATGAGGATTTCGTTCACTGTCAGGCATGTTTACAGGAAGTTTTTCACGTATTAGGACTTCAAAACAAGCCTAGGATGAAAGAATTAAAATTACATGAGTTAATAAATAATAATAATAATAATATGTAAGCTTCTATAGCACTTCTATAGGTTTCTCTAAGCACTTTAAATAAAAGGTAAAAAATAAAAAGCAGAAGTAGAAATTGACAAAGAAATATAGATAAATAAAGTTAAAACATTCATTTCATTAAAAACTTAACATTTTCAGACTGCAAGTTACTGCATGGGCCTTGGATTTTGTTAGCAAGATAAAATAATACAAAAAAAATTAATGATACATGAGGGTATTCCCCTAAAATAGTTCAATGTGTGATTGATATGTGCCTTATATTTTCATACTAAATTTAAAAGTTTTAGAATGGATAACTATGCGGAAAGCTACTTAAAATAAGTAAACAGTCAAATATATATCATCAACACTTCAAATATTATAATTTAAGTAAATTCTATATTTCAGTACAAGACCACACAAACAAGCAGACGGGGAAACCCYTTGAAATGAGTCAGTGCCGTTTTTGGTACAATAACCTTTGAAAGAAATTCACTAAAATATGTTCTTATCCCAGCTTATCATCTGCTAAGTAATGACTTGACTGAGTTCTTAGTCCATTCTCTATGACGGCACTTCGTTTTAGTCTGATTTGAGGCAGATGTTGTCTGTTTTCCTCTAGAAACAATACCTTKCCATTTGAAACACCGTACGTTGCTCTGGCGCCAGCCCACAAGTATTCRAAACCATCTTTGTATAAGCTACTTCCCGTGAAACCATCTCTTTCAATCACGAAGTTTAAATCGCTATTATAGTCATCTAGGACAACTGGGTTATTGGAAATACCACGAATATGTTGTGGACGGTTTCCTTGATCTGTTTGAGATGATATCGCCGCATCATGTCCTGAATAATTATCATAGCCTCTCTGGTTATACATGGATAGTTATATTGATGTACTCAGTTCTGCAGTAAATTCTTCTTCTTTACGAAGTAATCAGTTCTTGTAGCAGAAAAATCACAAAATGCAACATGGCTGTCCCTTAGGACGGAAGTAATGGTCGACGAAATAGGCGAGGAGACTGTGAACGAGTTTAACCCTTACCAGGCACACTCAACTTCAGTGGAYACAGGAAAACCGTGATATGTTTTCCTATATATTATTAAAAATCGATGAAGCAACAAAAAAATTTAAGAAGAAAGCAGGCTTGTCGGTGAGGGATGTTCGTGTAGGGTGGAGGGGCTATTATAACATACTTTTTGTCCTAACACAGTGTCTTAAAATGTTTTTTTTTTTGCTATTCACTTACATCACTCATCAGTCGTCGTTTGATTGCATAGTGTTTTCCAATAAAAGTTAAATCTGTCATGATCTTTCGTTTGTCATGAAAACTTTCCTTCGCTGGGGGATATCCCAGTATCGATCAACGGTAAACTAAATCTTATTAAGTGCTGAAATATGATGCTGCCTATTTCCCAATCATGCGCATCCAGGTTTTGTTCAAGGCGCGTTTCTATTGCCTTTACTTACTTCAATTTGACAAATTAATTACTATGGAAGCTGCGTAAAGCAAATATAGACATTTATGAAATTACGCATCAGATAAATCCAGTCTGACTTGACTCAGCTTAAAATAAAAACTGTAAGACTTCGTATCTACTATAAGCAAAGCTAGACTTTTCCTATAGCTTAGCTCACCTGGTGGTTTGGGATCTTGAAAACTGRAGACTCTAAAGCTTAAATTTACATGGAAATTGATACCTGTCAGTCTAAGGCGCAGTGTGTTAACAGACCCGCTCCTAGTTGATGATGTCATAAATCTCCGCTATCCTTCTTGTCCAATCAGAAACAAGTATCGACGTTTTTAATCGATAGTACTAAAATTGATATTGTCATTTTGAATGATTTGTTGTATAATGTATGAGACAGTCCCCGAAACTGCCTGAATTACGATTCAGTTTACTTACTRACCATTTGTTCTCTGGTACATACGACACTGAATTTCATATGAATATTAATCTTACATCGATTCTGGGAATGATTCGCCGGCCATGTTTGACGAGATATCTTGCTAATAGTGAACAATTCGAGATGTGAAAGTCCAACAGGGTTTTAGTTAAGGTAAGTGTAARCTGAATGTGAATTATTTATATTCATTTTCCTTCAAAAGTGCTAGTGTTCAGTATTTTTGTTATGAGATAACTTCTGTACACCTGCTTCAGCCCTAGGGCGCGATATGATTATTTTACATTGCCACTCAGATAAAATACTTGAAAAATCATCGGTCCCCATCAGTAATTAATCTACGAAAAATAACGCTCAGGAAAACCCATCAAAGTGCACGAATGTAAAAATGTACAGCACCCAGTCATGGATAATATGATCTGATCCTGTAAAAGAGAATGTAACGACTGCATTCGCCAAGCACRAACCATAAAGTCTGAAACAACAAGGACACCAGCAGTGAATCCAATGGATAGCCAATTCCCATGAAAATAGAAAAACAAAAAACAAAAAAGCTTTATCTGCAATACATGTACACTGACTGTCATAAATGATGCATTCTAAMTACACAGCTTCGAATCCGTAAACTGCCTGAATAGCTGTTAAATATTCTTAAATGAGAATATTGGCGCAATGTTGTTTTTGATAATTGCATTATAATGTGTGCGCAAGTGATATTTCCTTTCTTACAATCAATTATTTAAGAAATAATTGAGAAACTAAGTTACAATAGGTATGAACTTGAATAGGAATCTTTCTGATATGCAAAAAATAATAAATATAAACAACACGAAAGAAAAGCAAACTGCAAAAAATAATTAAAGTCAATTAAATACTGTGATTCAAACCCAAAAGATTTCAAAAAGTTTTGGGAGACGATTCCACGATTTTGACAGTTATAATGACGAAATGATTGTTTTTGCATTTAGTATGGTATCATGATTTCTAACGTGACGTATGCAGCAATCACCTTATTGGTTCTCTTCAATCACGTGGTACCTATCACTCAAAGTACCTGTCTTAGATCGCTCACTAATGTTACACTACAGGATCATACCATCAAGTCTTTTTCAACGCCTTTTCTCAACGAATGCTGGCAGGCGTGTAAAAGTGATGCTCGATGTCAAAGTTTGAACTTYTTCTTGAAACAGCAACTKTGTGAGATAAACAACAGAACAATCTYACTGGCACYRAAACATTCTGTRMATGTTCCTTTTACTTCTTACTTTGACAATCCTTATAAAGGTTAGCTGCAAATATGATGGCATTGAATTTGAGTATATTATCCTCCATTTAAACTTTGGATGTCCTTATTTAGTTGCTAGATAAAAGTGTCCTTCACGGTTCTCTGCGCCATCTTGTAGATCTTGAAATGTAACCGTACCTTTGCATCGCATCGAGACGACTGCTGAGCGTGCAACGTTAAAAACCTTTTTTCACGCCGACTACAAAAACAGTTAATCTACAGCATGTATATACATATAATATATAGCACGCTCAACAGTTAATCTACAGCATGTATATATATCACATATAGGACGCTCAACAGTCGTGTCGCTTCGATACAAAAGCCATGTAGCGACCTTTCAAGATGTCGTAGAGAACAGACTATTGCTAATTTTGCTTTTATTAGTAACTGTCGGTACAACGAAAGACGTGCCMGCGGTTTCCTGTGCTGAAATATCGAAGGCTATCGGGAATGTCAGCGGTCGTTATTGGATCATTGACCATGCGCAGTCAAGTATTCCATATATGGCGTACTGCAACATGACATCACTAGGTATCCAAGAGTACTTATTGATTTACTGACTCTTTTGAATCATTTTAGTGCTTGACTGACAGGCGGACTGACTGATTGATTGATTTGTTTATTGATAATGTCCTGAAGATGAGGACTAACTGACCGACTATTGTTTACTACTAAACCATCCAATTTTGCAGCTATTGAGGACTGTGCCGTCGAACAGTGCAAAAACAGCGGGAAATGTACGTATTTTGGGCTTGGCAAGTACGAATGCGCATGCCCAGTACTTACAACAGGACAAGACTGTCAAATTAGTAAGTAACTATGGGTTTTGTGTTGTTGTATTCTATTTGTTGCATCAGGGTTATAAATCACTAATTGGAAACAATTTTTAATGTTTGTATCTCAATTGTTTTCACATAGAAATAAGCGTGTGTGACAGTTCTCCATGTCAGAACGGAGCGACTTGCGTTGATCGAGGAAGTAACTTCTCGTGCAGCTGCAAATTCAGATTTTATGGAAAAAACTGTGAAAAAGGTAGAGTAAGATAAACCAATTATCATCCTGCTGGCTTGACTGACAGATTGAATGAATGGATGAATGACTAAATGAAAATTTGATTGATAGGTGAACAAAATAAGATAATTGATTGTCAATTGAGTGATAGATATAATTACCAGATTGATCAATGCAGATATCTSTCTACTTTTTTTTTGATATATTTTAATAGATATTTTACAAACACCATAAATTACATACATATCTGTCTTCTTGATTGATTTGTGGTATGCATCAACTCTAGAATGCACATCGCTGCCAGCCCTTGGAATGGAAAGTGGATCCATTCCCAATTCAAGGATAACAGCTTCATCAGTGTGGGGCATCCATCACGAACCATGGCTGGCCAGACTTCGCAAACACTTTTCTGGAAAAATGGGAGCATGGTCAGCAAAAACAAATGTAGCTGGTCAATGGATTCAGGTCGATATTGCTAGCGTTGCCGTGGTTACACGTGTTGCTACTCAAGGTCGTCAAGACGCGTCTCAATGGGTTACCAGTTATTACCTAGAATATAGAGCTAATACTGCGCATTATACATCGTATGATAATAGAAAGATATTTTCTGGAAATAGAGACAGAACAAGTGTTGTTACTCATAACCTTAATCCACCAATTATCGGTAGGTGGATCAAGCTGGTTGCCCAAAGCTGGTATAATCATATCTCCCTKAGGATGGAGCTCTACGGCTGTCGGTAATCATTCCACATAAAAAGGTTTTGACCTGGTGGTAGATCAGCGCTAGTCTTTTGACCCCCCGGCATAAGCTAAAAGTACCAAGTGACTGTATTCCAACCTCCATCTCGAGTAATTTCCCTATCATATTGCAGATGTTTGAAGTAAAGATCTTACWGCAACAGTGAACACTTTACAAATCAGTCTTTAAGGGACATGGTCCCCATCCAGGATCCCTTTCGAGCTTTTGCTCATGTTTGGACATAAAAATACAACGTAATATAAGCAAAAGCGTACTCTTAGTCATTATCCCTTTATACATATAAATGGAAATATTATAATATTCGACCGTTAAACTGATAGATGGAAAACGAGTGCTGATGGCTATTCGAACTCATTTTCCACATATGAAAAATCTAAAACACGACCGCATTGAATGCTGGATACCGTATATCCTTGCCAACCTTGACAGCTTTATTGCAATAAAACAGGAACAAATGCTGTATGCAAACTCGTGTACAAAGTGAATAAAAGAAATAAGAAGCATACGATTTTATTTGTTTTTGTTATTTGTACACCGTGCCACCTGTAAACCTAGGTATACAGATCCAGTTGCTTGCTTGGATAATTTTTAAGCAATAAAATATGTTTTTCCTGGTTAAATGTTCAAATAAAGCACGCGATTATTTGGCAGAAAAAAGTACAAATATCATGTGAAAATATCATGTACAAATCTTATGCATATAATGTCCTCGAAATGAGCGCTTCCCTGCAAAGCAAGCGCTTGTGAACCAATCAAAGCGTGCGTAAAAGGAAGTCGATATAAGCAATCAATAGGATAATCGGCTTAGAGAAATCAGAACATCAGAACTGCAAARGAAGGACAAATAAATAGATTCATACTATTCATACTTATAATATCAGAATTAATCAATTCTCATAGGTTGAATTGATCTGTCAATCTGATGTGTTGATCTAATCATGACAAGTTTGCACTATTCGACAGATAATGAAAAAAAGACTATAAGAACAACAGCGGCTGCTTCTTGAGCATCAATATAAGTTTTTACTAATTTGGATTAACTTTAATAGAACGAATGATCGCAGCTGAAATTTMCATTGATTTGTGTCGCCTATGGTAAACCTATGGATTTGTTCTTACGCTGAACAAACACAGAAATCCAGATTCGAAAAAAATGTTCGCTTTGAATATGTAGAGGTGAGTTAATTATATCATTCAGTTGATGTTTCAATGTGTTTTATATGAATTAATAGCAAAAAAGTGAAAATATTTAGAGAAAAAGTACCCAGAAGTCAGGGATAAGAAAAGCTAGTCTGCGATCATCATTTGCAGTAGTCAAATCTATACGTAGTCAGCAGATAGGTGGTCATTGTCGTTGCGTATAGWGACGTCATGGCGGCCATGTTGGAAGATCATTGATGAAGTATTATCCATTGTTTATGACACCAACACGTCCGTTAGTCCTTTGAATTCAAACTATTCATCGAAAAGCAGCAACATTTTGTTACAACAAGTTTKATCATTATTTTGTGRTTATTATTTTTAGGTTAACATTATGAAGAAGTCAGCAATCACCCTATTGGTTCTCTTCAGTCACGTGGTACCTGTCACTCAAAGTACCTGTCTTAGATCGCTCACTAATGTTA